CCCCCCCCCCCCCCCCCCCCCTGACTTATGACCTTTCTTGCCACGCATGACCTGGTTTCGTTTTGGAGGGAATTCGGAGGGACTCACAGGTTCGACCTTCCCCTTGGGCTTCGGCTTCTTCGTGTCCTCGATTTTCGGTTCTTCGATCTTCACTTCGGTCTTGATGTCTTCTTTCACGTCTTCCTCTGGTATTGAGATTTTCGGGATCGGTTCCTTCTTCTTCGGTACTTCTTCCTTTTTCTTTTCCTCTACCTTCTTCACTTCTTTTTTCTTCTCTTCCTCCTTTTTCTTCTCTTCCACCTTTTTCTTCTCTTCCTCCTTTTTCTTTTCTTCCACCTTTTTCTTCTCTTCCTCCTTTTTCTTCTCTTCCTCCTTCTTCTTCGCCTCTTCTTTCTTCTTCTCTTCCTCCTTTTTCTTCATCTCTTCTTCCTTCTTCTTTTCCTCAGCCTTCTTTTTCTCCTCTTCTTCCTTCTTTTTCTTTTCTTCATCTTTCTTTTTAGGATCTTCTGCAGAACACAAGAAAGTTTTTTTTTGCGTAAGGACCTTCGTAAGTGCGACCGCGAACAAACAATCCCAACTAACATCGATCGACTTTTCATTTCTCAAGTTTGAATCCCAAAGCCGCCGAGAACCAGGTTAACTCAGACCGGTTGCGGTTAGCTCAGTTGGACCAACCGTTTCAAAGCGTTATTTGTGGCTTCGATTTCCCGCCCGATTTTCCCAAACTCAAGGTCATTCAAATCTCTTGGAGAGGACAGATGAATAATCGAATTTCAAGAAATTATGCCAAATCGTGGAAATTTCTGATCGTGAATTCGTGAAACTTGGAAGTGGACCTTCGTCTCGTCGCTGGACCAAGCCATAGCTGGACCAAGCCAGCCACATTCTTGGCCCAGCCACGAAATAACGCCTGGACCTGATATGGTCAGCGATCGACGGGAACGCATTTACTCTCCAATTCAAGTTTAGTCCGGTAATTTGCATTTTTTGCCATCTCAACTTTGTTCCCTTATTCAGCCAAAAAATGCCTGAAATCGGCTGGCACAAAAGATTTTCAGATAAAAAATCGTCTCGGTATGCTTACCCCTTAATCTGCGAACTTCCAAGAATGTGTCTCGGGTGAGACAACTTGGAAAGCAGGCGAAAAAAAAAAAGTTTTACGACTGCCGATGAAAGAAGTTCCGAAACAGTTCCCAAGTTCTACGATGTTGTTTGGGTGGATCGAGTTCAAAGTTCAGCCGGCAAAGACGACCACGAGAAGCCAAATGCGGCTCTTGTGTCTCCTATTTCGGCACTTGGCTCTTCATCGGCCATCTTCATCTCTTCATCATCTTTTTCATCAGAAAAAAAATTGCATGAACTTAATGCAATTTTTTTCCTTCAATCCATATTCTGGCACCGTCCACGGAATGAAGATTAAGATTAAGATTACGACTAATCTCGTTGGAAGCAGGATTTTCGCCACGACCATGCAAATAAATTTAGAAATGACATTCGTCGAAGAATTACAGCAGCGAATCGCACAAAACTGTCACCTTTGACGACGAGTTCGGCGGAAGATTCTTCCTTCCCGAATTCGTTTTCGACGACGCACTTGTAGGTCCCGGAATGGTCCAACTCGCATTCGCGGATGACCAGCTTCGCGATCGTTCCCGTGAAGCTCACCGTGAGGCTTCGGCTCTCCGTCACCACCTTTGAACCTCTGCGAAAAATTCGTAATTGTTAGATTGTCCCCACAAGATTGTCTCGTGAATCTCAGAGGAGGGGATCGATATTTTTTTTATCCTTACCGATACCAAGTTACTTTGGCATTCTTGTCGGCATTGGCCAATTTGACAGAGAACTCAGCCGTGTCTCCAGCTTTCACGTCCTGGGCCCGAAGAATTTCATTTATTCATAAATTGTATTCATAAACGAACCTTCGCTGTAAGACCGACGGCGAAACCCATACCTGAGCGCTGAGTCCTTGAGCAATCTTGGGTTTCTCTCCCTTGGGTTTCTTCTCCTCCGGCTCGGGGATCTCCGTGACCTCCACCGTCATGGACTGCGCCTCTCCCTTCTCGTTCTTCGCCACGCACTTGTACGTGCCCTTGTCCTTGTCGGTGACCTTCTCGATCTCCAGCTTGATCGCGAACTCTCCCTTCGAGACCTCCTCGATGTGCACGAAGTGCCGGGTGTCCTCGCGGATGGTGTTGCTCTCCTTGTACCAGACCACGTTCGGCTTGGACTGGGACACGATGACGGTCTCGATCACGATCGTCTCCTTCTTCACCACGCGCTTCACTCGGGGCTGGATCTTGATCACAGGGGCGACTGATGGGGAAAGGTTCAGATGTGAGACTTGATCTCTCGCGAGTGTCGTTGGTCGACGCGATGGGTTTCTCACCTTCTATGTTGAGGTTGAGGTTTGCATTCACTTCCCCAAATTTGTTTGTGATGTGGCAGCGATACGATCCGGCATCGTCTCCACCAGGATCCTACGAGTGGGAAAGACAACGCGTTCCTCAAAACTAAAACACAATCAAGTAATATGCCGGAAAGCAGCCGATCACTTGCATTGATTTCCAAGAAGTATTCGAAGGTTTCTTCGTTCTCTTGGACTTTTCTGATTTTGATGCGTGAGGATTCGGTAACCGTGCTTTTCCCCTTGTACCAAGTGAAATCCGGTGTGGGTTTCGCCCGGACCTTGCATCTCATCGTGATCAAAGTCCCCGTCGCGTTGGGGACGATTCGCGGCTTCTCCACGAACGTGGGAGCGAAACCGTCCGGTTTCTCTTCTTCCTCGTCGCCTCCTAGGAGGTTTAAAGGTGGTTTAAGGTGGTTGAGAGGTGTACGGATTCCGGAACAGTAGAATTTCAGGTGGTTCTGTTCGTTTCTTGATCTCTCAGATATGCTAAGGCGAATTAGATTGGCATGTCTATCCCCATCTGTTTCAGATGTTGCCTCAAAATCTCTTCCATATTAATTCTGGCTAGAATCTTTATAGATTGAGAGCCTGAACAGGAACGAACAGGCCCTACAGTGCTCTCAGTGCTTACAGAACGTTCTGCAGTAAGGAGTAGAGAACGCATTGCTTCATGCTTCATAGAAACAACAAAGCATGGTGACACGTAATATTCTCCGAGAGGCTGTGACTCACTTGGACCGAGTCCACGGCCCCGACTGAGAGGGAAAAATAAACGGTCTCGAGCAAAACCCGAGTTCATCTGTCTTTCGGACAATGACGGAAATTCGGTGCCGTTTTAGATTTGGCTGGATTCGATACGGACCCGGAGGGACCCCATCCGATGGACTGGGTCGCCATGTGCGCGAACCCCGAAACAACGACAGCGGTTGGCGACACCTCTGTTCTAAAAATAAAGTCACGGTGTCGCCGACAGGCGGCGCATCTGCACCCGTACTCAGCTCGGCTTCCTACTGCTTGTTTGTGCCAGAAATAAATCGAGATTCTCTGAATTCTCTGGAAAGAATAATTAAATTTACAAAAAAAAATCAACTCCAGTTCTCGATTTATAGTTTAAACGGACTGAAGCTAAATTTTAAATGCTAATCTGTTTTTCCATGAGCTTGAAAATTTTAAATAAACTCGAAATCTCAATAGTCGTAAAATTTTAACCGAAACACTAACAGGCGAGGGATTCATGCTATTACGGTATTCACAGAATTGAAAATTTTTCTTCCCACTGTGAAATCCACGCGCATCGGCAACTCGTGATAAATTCACCTTGGAAGTTGAGGGCGATATTGGCATTGCTCTCGCCGCACACGTTATGAGCATTGCACCGATAGCTCCCGCCGTCGCCCTTGGTCGGGTTCATGATCTCGAGGGTGAGGAGGTAGGTGTCCTTCCCCGTCACCTTCTGGGTCATCCGCGTCCGGGCCGAGGACTCGATCTGCTTCGTGCCCTGGAACCACTTGATCTCCGGGGCTGGGTTCGCCTCCAGGATGCATTCCATGATCAGGGTCTCTCCCTGCTGGCGGATCGTCGGCTTCTTCGGGAATCTCGGGGCCTTCCCGTCTGGGATTCTTAAGAGCGAAAGGGGAGATGGTGAGGGTCATTCGCTCGGAATCTCGGCATTCCCTGCAAGGAGATGGCGATCGTACTTGGGCTTCTCTGAGGCTCCCTCGAAGTTGAGATTGATATTGGCGACGCCTTCGCCGTGTTTATTCTGTGCGACGGCTTTGTATTCCCCCCCGTCCTCGGCATTCACCCCGATGATCACGAGTCTGACGATGTGATAGAGCTTGGCGTCCTCTTGCATCGACATCTTGTATCTCCCGCCCTCTCGCACCGCTTGTCCTCCGTGGTACCTTCGGATGGAACGGTTCGAGCCTTGTGACGGCGGGTCAAAATCATGCAAAAATGCGGAATCGGGAGTCTTGGAAAGTTTCCCAGATTTTCCCCTGATATGCTTGGGGAGGCGGAGAAGCGAGAAAAGTAAAAATAGTGAACGAGAATTTTTTTTAAAGGAAATTCACGAATCAGGCTAATTTTGGCGGATCAGCTCGGGATTCGATCCAAGGAACAACTCATAATGCTAAATCTTTGCGGGGGAAGGAAGACTATCTGGGAGGGTTGCCAATGGGCTAATGACTTGTTTATGAGGAAGGAACAGGAGAAGGAGCAGATATAAATGTTGAGTCCCTAGAAGAAAAATAGCGACTGCGTAATTCTCATCCACGTTTGTTTGGTGTTGCACGATTACGTCTGAGACAAGCCGAATGCTTATCCTAACTGATATAATTAGCAGGCAAAAACACAAAAAGGAAGGTTTTTAGCAATGGAACGCAGGGCATTCTTAATTCTCGCGTCAACGAGAGAAAAAAAGAGGGGAAAACCTGCGTTTTCATCCAGTTTCAAGAAGTGTTTGTTTGGCGTTGGCTGGTGCCAAGAAGCCGTTAAATCGGGGGAGATGCAAGAGATAGCTGGGCGACAGACCAGGCGACGGTAGGAACGGGGTCGCCGACGAGCCGGCATTCGAAGGTGACTGTTGAGCAATCTTCAGATTGGCGGATCACAGGGCGTTCCGTGAAAGTCGGCTTGATCCCATCTTTCGGAGTCGGTGCTTCGTCACCTGCGTCGATCATCGTCGATCATCAATCATCGCTCATCGGACGATCGTCGAGGTTTCGCAACCTCAACCGCGCGGTTATATCCCCCCTCTACTCCATTAAAGCGTTATGACGAAATGCCAAATGCGAGGCAGATTTTGGAGGAAAAGCCAAAACATTTCCAGTCCCTCCCACGTTCCTTGGCATGCGGAAACGGTTCCAGGTGCCTTTCGAAACTTTATCTGGGACGTCTGTTCCGTGCAACGCCTGGAAGCAAGGAAACGAGCCGAACTGCGAAAATGAACAGCTCCGACCATTCTGGTTGCCAGGCAGCTAATTATTCCATTTTAGCTTACATGCCACGTCATAATTGTATTTTTACGCGAAGCTGCGGGGCTGGAAAGCGACGATAGACCTTGTATAAAGCCGATCCCGTGTAGTCCAGACGTTTATATGATCCTGCAGAGAATTTGGCACACAATCGGGACGGCGCAATGGCAGAACTCCAATATCCCCTCATCGCACTGGAACATCTCGTCCCCGTTGACGCGCAGCGGGACTTCCGAAAAGAAAAAGGCGAAACCCACTGTCGAAATTGAGGCTGATAGTGGCGTTGCTTTCTCCCAGCTCGTTCTTCGCGGTGACTTTGTATTTCCCGGCGTCTTCCACGGTCACATCTTTGATTTCCAGGACGCTCTTGTACGTGGTGCCATCTCTCTCCACTGAGACCTGTCAGACCGAGTCCAGGATTGATGGGACGCATTCACCGAACCGGCTGACACTCCTCTCTTCGATGTTGGCATGATCAATGCGTCCATAATTCATTAAACCCGAGATCAGAGAACTCTGGCAAGTGCACGAGTCACATGCAAACCCAGTCTAAAAGCGTGAAATTCCGAGTTCGTGTTCGTCCGTCTGAAAGCATACATTCGCTCTATCGAAATACCACAAAACTAAAGCTTCTCCCATTCACAATACAAGAGTTAATTAGGTTGTTCCATTCCATCTCCAGCTAAGACTCAAAGCAGAATTAGGACGATGAATCAAACGCCTCTTGATTTATAATAATTTACTACAATAATTGAAGGCATTCAAAGTTCCCAATCTTATTCCCTCCCCCCCCCCCCCATGCGAGCAAGCCACAAAGGATCCCCGCCATAAAAGCAGGTGTTGCCGCAACGATGAGTCATGACGCCTCCAGTGCGTGGGCTTCACCTGAGTGATTCATCAGCTGCGATTTCTTTGTGCCGCTGTCATTTGTCTAGTAGCTCCGAGATAATCAGTCTGAAAGCTGTTTTCTTTCCCAAGTCCCATTTGCAGCGATAGGATTGAATTGAGGAGCTCTCTGGAAAAGGGGCGCATGAGCAATAGATGCAATTCGAAAGAAGCAACGAAATCTTTTCTTTTTTTTCACGGATTCACACTTGCACGGTTTTGCACCAAAAATTCAATAAACTCAAACCGTGTATCTGCTTTCGTGCTTTCCTAATTTTTGGTTTTAAAAAAAATCGTGCAAGTGCGAATCCTTGCAAAACGAAATCGCGTAAAGCGAGGGAAGCCTGTATTACAGACTCCAAATCCGGAACCGATTTCAAAGATCTAAGTGAGCAAGGAGCATGTGGCTATTTGGCCGCGACTGGGTGAGTAAACTTGAAGGCAGGACGGGCGTTAAAAGCATGCTATACAGTATTTAAAAAATATAATAATAAAAAGTTGTCTGGATGTTTCAACACGATCGGCATTCTCTGGGGATCGTTGTGAAAGAACATAACCGCATGATCGACCGCAAATACGCTATAGTCACCCAAGACGTCACCACAGGAATTCTCATCAGCTATCATGGTAAGGCTAACTCATGATGGAACATACAGGGTGCCACTAAAGAAAAAGTTCCCCAGTTTTACATTTTATAAAGCCTACTAAAGATATTCCATATTTGAAGTTTTGTTATTTCGCAGAGCAAACATTCCAATTCTATTTCTTGAAAGCTTCAAATCTCTAGGTTGTTTGGACCCTTACAAAACGTCCGCCTACATCCACCTGAAGGACCAGGTGGACAGAAGGTGGATTTGGGAGCATGCATGGAGTGGAAATCCACCTGGTCATTCACGCAAGTGTTTCTCGAAACAGGTGGATGTTCCCTCCTGGCGAGGGCTTCTGTGGGGAGGGTGGGGGTCCAGGTGGACATAGCTTCAACAGGGAGAAATACGTCTAAGGGGATATCCGCCTGGTTCCAAATCCACCTGGCAGGTGGGCGTTTTGTGAGGGAAGAGCGACAGCCCTCCCAAGTTCAGTTGGAAAATTCAACTTTTCCACGTGGTGAAACATCCGGGTGCAACAGCTAAGCAGATATGTGCAGACGTGTCTCATTTGTCGCTTAAAAGCCTGTTTCTTTATGACTGCATCTTTCTTGCAGTGTCCTTGACTGCATAGTGCCACCGCGTCGTGGCTGACAGTGCAAAATGCCTCTGCGTTACAGGGGTGTTTCATTTTAAGGAAGGGCTTGAGTGGGAGGAAGACCACCAAGAACACAGTCCATGGCTCGATCGTTCTCTTCCCTTTTCAGTCCTTCTACTCAAAAAAAATGCCTTTACCACATTCGTGCCTTCCTTTCTCAGCAAAGGCCTGGAAACATTACAACATAATAGAAAATATACTATGCCAGGAACGCAGCCATAAAAACAGGCTTAATGGTCCCAAAGGAAAGTCTTTTGAGTGGGTTGAATCCGCATCAGCTTGAGGGAAAAGCTGAACTTTTTCTCAATTATCTGGTTGGTTTGGAAGCCAGGTTTGTGACTTTCCACGGCTTTTTCTTTAATTTCCTGGAAAATCAAAGAAAACCCCCATGGTTTGAATGCTGGTTTTCATCGAGCCTAAGACACTTCAGGCTTTCAAGAAAGAAATCATTGTGTTTCCTCTGTGATGCAAGAAAAATTATGAACCCAGCATATCTATAATCTGCTTAATATTAATAAAGCATCTAACAGGATGATTTTTGCTCCACCCGGAGCAAGAAAAAAGTCTGAACGTAAACATCAGTCATGAGACAATGCATGCTATCTCTAGCATAATCAATATCCTCGTTAAGCGTACGCGCGATGAAAGGATATACAGTTTGTTATTTCGTGTCGGCCCATGCAAGACGAGGGAACTGGCAGACCTTGAAGCGCCCGGAAGGTGGGAGTTCCTTCCCGTCGTGCGACCAGATGAAAGACGGCTGGGGATCCGCTTGAACTCGGCATTCGAACAGGAGCCTCTTCCCGTCTTCTTCCTGCCGGATCGTCGGCTTCTTGGCGAATGTCGGCGCGATCCCGTCTATTTGCCTGCAGTTCGGAGGAAAACGGGGGAATGCGGTAGTTCTGAGAGCATCGTGACCTTAATTCATTCAAGTTATAGTTATACTCCTCCACGATGGGTTTGAATGAGAATAAATTCAATTGAGCTGATTTTATCCTCATACAAGTCCATCGCGCCGCAATTTTCAGTTTGACATTTGATATTTGAACTGATACTTTCTTTCATTTTAAGCAAAAATAATTCTTCTCTAGATATTGTAATTCTGCTCTACTTAATTCCTACGTGCTCCACCTGGAAGGAGGGTACAATTATCAATTATCAGACATCCTGTATATATGCATGGAGCTAATAATGTTCCTTCTGTTCAGCGGCATCAATCGAAATTAAAAAGCAGGCGAAGTAGTCTGGATTTTCACTGGGGAATGGATCGACCTCAAGTTATTCAATAGTGATGCTGATGTCGCAATATTCAGGTAATGTCGGTGAAAGGTGAAATTCGACCAGTTGCGTAAGAAGAATTTTCAGGTAGTAGGGGTTCAGTGTCGTACTAAGTGACAAGTGGGCGAGGGGGAAGGGTGGGGGTGGGGGTGCTGCACGAAGAGAGTGCCAAGGGGGAGGGGGGAGGGGGGGGGAAATTCGAGACCCTGCGCCCCTCCTCCCCCCCCCCCCCCCCCCCCCCCCCCCCAGAAAGCGCGCACCCCCCCCCCCCCCCCCCCCCCCCCCCCACCTGCACACTCCTCCTTCCTCCTGCTCACTTCATTCCGCACGAAACAGGGGGAGACAGTCTACCAGAAAACGTGGAGGAAATGTATTCTCTTCTTAAAAAAATTGAAAATACATTCTAATGAGGATTCAAATGATGGGCTAACAGACAAATCTTAGGGGAGGATGGGATGGTCGTTACTGTCCTACTGACTTGCAAATAAGACTTTTTCGTACTTAAATTTATATTATTCAATCTTTCCTCTGGGAAGAACCTTCACATCCCGTTTAAAAGACCTGGTAGTTAGTAGGAAGGACACTGAAAAAGTGGAGGGAAGGAAATGTGGGGTATCTTCGAAAGCAATAAGCGAAATTCTTCAAATAAAACAAGTCAGTGTGAAATCTAAGATTAACAGAAAATGCTATTTCTTGCCTAAGTGATAGCTCAACGTAAGCAGTTCGCTGAATACAGTCTTGGAAAAATAATAGCGCCTAGCTCAATACTTTATAAAATTCTCTTAAATAAATTATTCAAAAGACATCGAGTTTATCCATCGGCCAAGAGACACTTCATATTATATGGAGATCCAGCGAAACTTCCGAAAACAGTAATGAAATTAACTTTACTGTCCCTTTTTTTATGAGCATTGCGAAAACCAGTTGCACTAACATTAAAAATATGCAAAAGAAAATATACATAAAAGACAGACTCCCAACTTAATATCTCCAGTCTTACTTACTGGAGATATTTTCACAGAGAATGCATGCCCTCTGAGCAGATTGATATCTTCCCAACACATTTCTGACATTTAATCTAAATTCATTCTTTCAGAGCAAGGTCATGAGTGATTACTAAGATGTGCTAATTTAAAATGGGAGTGCAGAAAATATATTCACGGCGCGGCCGCAGATCTGCATGGAGGCCAAACCGAATCGTAACAGCTAAATTGTGCAAAGAGACGCGATTTTTCGAGAGCCTCCTTTCTATGAAGAAATTAGAGTCTTTTTTTGCGTGATGGCCTGTGCGAAATATATGGGCTCCTGTGAGTGACATTTTCCGCTAGCAAGAAGTTTCGCCGACGTTTGCGGGGATAGAATTGCTTCGAGCTTTGCCAATATTTCTTCAAAATGGAAATTGCAAACGGGACTGCATCTGACCGACGCTACGAGAGATGAAAATCGGAACGAGAATATACAAAAAGAGATTGGAAAAATGAGACCGAATGTGAATTCACGATAGTTGGTGCAAACTGGGAATTCTCGATCTTATTTAACCATACTTTCCTGTCACGAACATTCTTCGAAGTCAACTTGGCTCGCTAGTGAAGTGATCCTTGTCCAGTATCTTCATCGCCGCATTTAATTCTCATCTCGTAGAAAATACACTGTGGGAAAGGTGAAAAAATTGCGGGTAGGCCAAAGACGCGAAATTGCCCTCGATGCGATTCCGAATAGGGAAAAAGTAGCTATCTCCTAGCGAAGAGAATTACTAGGTGGCAATTGCCCCGCTCATTTTATGGGTCAGAAGCCCAGTGACGTGATGTCGCGTTAAGGCTCATTAGCCATACCCTTAAAGTCATTACTCTCTCCTGCTTCTCATCGGGGGTCCCCAATCCATACATAAGGCACTTTCAGAGAGCGTGGCATAATATGACAGCGATGCAAGACTTATTACGTAAGACGACGTAACGTGCGAGTCCGTACAAGACTCCACACGAGATTTTATCCGTTTCTTTCTTACCCCATGTCGAGGGCGAAGTGAGACTTTTCGTAGCCCTTTTCCCACTATCGTGTCGACGAGCGAAACAGTTCACTAATGGGAGGAATTCCCCCCATTCTGCGAAAAGCACAGAGGAGTCGTTATTCACTCGTTAAGACGGAGCCCACTGCATAGGATTAGACGTCACCCGAGAGCTCCCATGCAACTTCTGCATGGAGGCTAATTTTACATCACAGTGCACAGAAGCAAGGCAAGGCAAGGCATGGGAAGGCACACCGATAGACTCTTAGAACGATACTCAAGCCAAAACTCTAGCCATGGATGTTGGCTCGCATCCTCCTTCTGCCCACGATATTTTCCCCTCCGATACACCGCGTCGTGTGCGTCGAATATCGAAAATCTCCATATATCCTACGTCGTATAAATTTTCTGCATCGCGGGAGATGAAAATACATTCGTAGAACTAATAATATATTTTTTGCATCCTCGAGATCACCCTGATCGAGCCAACTACCCACGGCGAACAACAAAATTTTTTTGCTTGTTTTTTTCTTTTGGAGACACAGCGCATGACGTGTTTACGGAGGCGGAACCCAAAAGGAAAACTGGGCGACAAGACACGACTCACCTCATGCGCCCACCTTACTTGGAGGTCTAAAATACTCCTCCGATACTTAGCATAAATTCTCAAACAGAGCATAGTTTTAAATTTTCTATAAGAATAACTTTTTCGTCCTGGGCCGGCTCAAAAATTTTCCTCGCATGTATGAAGAAAAAAACTCTCGGAAGACGACCCCGCCCTGTGACATTTCTCATCAAGCATCAAGAGTGATGACTTCTTCATCGACTTGGAATGGTATCATCACAGGCACGACAGTCGGTACTGGCCTCTTTACCTTGTTTCTCTTCTCGTGGTTTCAATTGGCAGAGCTCTGTGGCAGTAAAGATAATTTTAGCAGGAAAAAAAGAAACAAGGCTGGGTATTGAAAGTTGTTTTGGGGCGAAGTCTATTTCAGATTTCTTTCGGGTCATGTGGACATACCGACGAGATGAGTAATAACGCCTTCATCTGCGCGATGGAATAACGACAGGAGAAAATAAACACGGAACTCTACAAACACCACCTCAGGATATTTCACCTGACGATATTACCGACCTTGAGATAACGATGTACCAACAAGGCACATAACATGTGGGATTCTTCCTGATGCTGAAGGGAGATTATTGAAGTGATTTATTACCGTCTAAAGAAGTGCGGACAGAACCCGCCAAAAAATTTCCACCTGCAGGTGGTTTCAATTTACGTGGATATAAATATTGAGGGTGAAATTGAGGACGCAAGGATAGCGTGAGGACAGATTCCGTCGGAAACCGCATGAGTTCAGGTGATGAAAGATGGTTGACACTCTCTTCTTTCCTGATATCTGAGAGCATGAGACGAATGAACTTATTTTAAGGCCGCATACGGGGCACAGAGAAGACGCATGCTCGTCTCATGCAGCATTTCAAATTCCCTTTGCGATTCTGTGGAGGACTTAGGGTCAGAGCCGAAGACTGGAACGATTGATTTTTTTTTTTTTATATGTACGCCGCCCGTATCTCCTGAACGTGGCACACAGAGTGGCATGTTTGAGTACCCCCTATGCTATAAACAGATACTCCCCGGCAAGCAGCTGAGAGCAGATTTCGCCTTCGCACGGACTCCATGAATCTCGTGGATTCAACCTGAGACGTCCGATCACCCGACTCGGTGGTTGGAAAAATGTATAAAATATAAATGCTTTTTACAGGAGGTAGTAGCGTATGTGAAGGGTTGGAATAATCATCATCTTCATCGAATCACTCATGAACCATGCTCATTTTTTCATAATCCTTCGAATTTCAGTTTCTTGGGAAAGAGGCAAAAAATCTTCAGCCTTTCGTGCTTCGTGTTTACGTCTAGGAACACTTTGTTACAGTTGCCCAGCCATGAACTTATGAACACGGTGAAAAGAGATCAGATGGAGGAATGAAAACTCACTTCTCTCGAGGCTCGTCGACCGCTGAAAGAGAAAAACAGAAAAAAAAGCATTTCAGTTTCATTGCCGAATAGTTGCGTTTCAAGTAGGTAACAAAGACATCTTATCTCCTTATCTCTTGTCCTACACATTTAAATTGCACCCTTAGGACATGAAAGGCCTCTTAGGAAAAGTTCTCACGAGGAAATGGGGCCAATGGTGACATTATTGGCCGTCAGATGTGACACGGAAGAGCTGGGATTTTGCACCCGAAACGAAATCATGAACTCTTGTGATTTCATGGACCCACATCGGTTAGTCCGAGGAGTCTGTTCGAGATGGAAAAAGTGGGCAGACCTCATAGAACGTGATATTACGTTATTGCATTTTTCCGATGTCACTCGACAGGGCCATATTGTCATACCTCGTATTAGATGCCGCCTCTCAATGATGTCACCATGTATTCCTTTCCTGCAAGCCTAATACATCTCGCCTTTATTGCATCAACAGAGACTTTCTAAATCTGAGCCTCAAACACCATGACGGCGACATGCCCTCGATCCCCTTCCTCCAGCTCCTCCGCCACATCTTCATCATTTCAGAGGGATCAACCGCCTGAACCTCTGTCAAGACAGAGGCCGCGAGACGACCAGACCAGACCGCGTCTCAGCCTCTCATCGGAAGAGAAGGCCAACCCCCAGAGCATGAATATGCGCATACAGTACCTCTCTATCACAGAAGCGTCCCGAACGAAGGACGGAACAAGACCAGACGGATGTGGCGTCAGATCGAGAATAGGATTTCTCTTCGATAATATGCGTCGTCATACTCTCACCGGCCTAAGATAGGAGGCACGCGCACTTTGGCATATGAACTGCACTATTTTGCCCTTTTCTCTTCCTCCGGTACGATCGAACGACCGACCTTCGATGTCTGCATCCCAAGATCGAATAACGAGACGGAACTCACGGCTGAAGTTCAAATTGATGGACGCGGCGACTTCACCAAACTTGTTTTTGGCCTTGACCTTGTAAAGTCCACCGTCGCTCTCGATGACGTCATCCAGCTCCAACGTGACCTTGTAGGTATTCGGCGAAACCTCTTTGACCCGGACGGCCGTCCTTTGGTCCTCTTTCACCTCCTTCTCGCCGCGAAACCAGGCGACATCCGGCTTGGGGCTGGCGAGGAGGTGGCAGTCGAAGACGAGCCTGTTCCCGTCTTCTTCCTGGTGGAGCTGAGGCTTCTGCAAGAAGCTGGGCGGTATGTCCTCGGACATGACCATTGTTCGTGCACTCACACGGTCGCAATCGGCATGACTAATATCCTCTGTCTTTCATATTTCTGTTTTCTCTCGTTCGAAAGGATCAGATCTAGATGAAAAAAGGGGAGAAACGTTAGCGATCGCGTCGACTCCGAGTGATCTCTAACAAGTACCTACAAGTCCCTTATACATCTATAACAATTTCAATTATGCTAAAATCGAAGCCCACACATCGAGCAACGTGCAACGCCGAATCACAGGGGCAGTCGTGGGGCAGTCGCGGGGCAGTCGCGGGGCAGTCGTGCCCAGCCGACTGCCCCTGGGACGCGCCTCGCAGGCTGGGCTCGGCTCCTCGCAGGGCGAGAGAAGCGAGCAGGCTGCGAATGTTCCATTTATTTTGTGCATTCCGTGTCTTTCTGGGTCTGCACGAGGATTTTCATTGCTTTCCCAAACATTTCTAAATGGAGCTTCAAAACACATTCCAGTCGAGTTTTGGCTCATGTGGGTAATCGTCGGGCGGTAAATGCGATCGTCATCTGCAAGGCGTGCCCCGCAGAACTGCTCGGTTTTTAAGTGCGACAGTTTATCATTTACCCATTGGCTTGGACCTGCGGAACTGTTCCGTAGTCGATCTTCAGTGATTAATATCTCAAATAGTATATAAATTAGATGCGAGCACCAGTGCAATCCATGGCTCTTTGGAATTCACAGAAAAATTTATGAACGCTGTCCGAATGTAAGTTACACACGCGAATGTGGGAATTTATTTCTGAGCCAATGGGTTATGAACTGCAAAATAGTTCAGCAATGCGGAGCGGCATTAATGCTGTTTTCAAGCCAAAAATCAGTCCTTGCCATCGCTCTCAGCGTCGTATTGATAATTTACCTAACATAAATGTACTATTGCCAAGAAACGGTCCATTGAGATGCCTTTACAAAAGTGACAACAGGAATTTGAAGCGATCACCCTTTTTCTTATCTCTAAATCATTTCCACGTTGCTCCTATGTGCAGCGATTCGACGTCTCTCCCATGGCTCGCAGAAATTCCTCGACTGATAAGTTACGAGGGAACCCGAACAGACGAGAGATGAACCCACCTCTGCACGAAAGATAAATGTCATACGCGACGCAAAAAGTGAAAAAGCGAGAGTCTATTTTCATTCACGACCTTGCTTCGCTCGTTCCACTGAGAATTCCAGCTTCAAAAATGTCGGCCGTTCTCCTGCCTCGTTGCTCGGAATCGAATTCCCCCATCGGACCCCCCCCCCCACCCCACCCCCACCCACCCCCAGGTTTCCACGAAAAGGACTCGCTTGACAACCCCACCCCCCACCCACCCCCACCCCCCATTGGCATGTCCGCAGCCAGATTTAAAAACGACTGTATTTCGTTATCATTGCAAGATCAGGACTGATGATTCGCCTCAGTCTTAAATAGGGTGAACGAAAATACATCTTGAAATGGGGGGAAATAATTGTGTGTCCAGATTTGGATACCTATTATTGTCACTTCCAGAATATGAACTTTCCATGGAGTTCTCCAAATTTTTTCGCAAGGAAAATACTCAATTTCTTGTACTGCTTTGGGGTTGGGAAAAATTACAGGAATGAAAAAAAAAAAGCTGACGATTCTGAGTGATATCATATCGTCAAACGATGCGATGTTTAACGGTATACATCTTAAATATGCATCGTGTCACTTTTCCCTTAATCCTGAGATTAAGGTAAGATTTTCTGAGATTTCTGCCACTTTTGGACATTTATTTCAAGTATTACACCTTCGAGCATGAATGGAGCTTTCACCACGGGTACGTTTCGCAATGTGACGTCACAGTCATTCTTTTTTTTCAGATGGAGATCGATCATCGACAATGGCAACGACATGAGTGAGTGGAAACAGAAGCATACCCCATCGCCGGTGGGAGACAAAGGACAAAGGACAAAGGAACGTCCTTCCAAGCACTTTCTCCTCTTATAGAGGCGAATGTCCACTAAACGCGTGGAGCCCTTCACGCCTCCAGAGAAGGCATCCCATGGAAGACTCGCACGTGCAAGGATGGAGAGGGAAAACTCTATGAAAGTTGCAGCCCAATGTACTTCGACCGATGGAACGCCTTCATCGAATCTAGTTCTTCGTAAAGTCATGATTATGCTGATCTGTCCGAAACTCAGGTGTTGAGTCGAACTCAACTTTATTGAGGTCTGCAGCATAAGAACAATATATATTAAGTTTCGAGAGGAGCATATCGCATGCAGAGATCCCTGAAAATAATGTGCAACCTGCAATTTAAAAAATATATTTTGCGCTGATGATGAGAAAAATGAAGGAATGTTTAAAAATCTCAAACTTGGATTTGAAACATGATAATTCTAACCTGAAGACTTGTCGCATCTTGGACTAATTTCATTCAACAATTGCTCTTCAAATCGATGCAGCAAAACCGCGCGATAAATTCGTCTTAAGAATTATCTCCTGCAACAAAAAACGCATCCTGTAGGCCTAAAATGTATTCGGGGAAAGTGGGTCACGTTTAAGATATACGTCACAACGTGACATATATTAAGATATACGTCACAACGTGACATATATTTGTCACCAACATTTGCTGCATGACATTTTCTGCAGACGTGCGTTATTGTACCAACGCTGTGCTATGGGTTGTAGCTGTCTCTTCGTGCATGCACCTGAAGTGTGACACAACGTTAGCCCATCGCATCGTACATCTTAACGAGCCCTGAAAGACATCAGCAACAACCATGTTTGCAAATTGCTCCGCGAGTCTGTCGAAAAGCTCGCAAGGCCCGACGAGTCCCACCCGCAACGGGGCCGAGCATCGCAGAACCGCCTTCGCGGTGCAACGCGCGCAAGGTTCGGACGCCGAGAGAGAGGGAGGGCCCGGATTCCATCCGGCTTTGCGGGCCGGCCTGATGATCTGGGTCCATACTAATAAGTACTCGAGCGTCAGATGTTCTCAAGTACTTTTAATGAGCAGGAAACGCTTTTAAAATGTGACAGTGAGAATATAATTCCGAGGGACGAGGAGGAACTCTCATTATCTAATTTCGTATTTCTTGGGCATTTAGTGCAGTAATATTAGTACTTATTATTAATATTAATATTTAAAATATTATATCATATTGAAATGTACTTAAGTAGTAAATAAACATATTTGAGTATTACAAATATTCAAAAGTACAAATACTAAATGCAAGCGTGTAATAGTATTCAAGAGTAGGCGTCACAGACCAAAAATAAACCTAAGTAATTAATTTAAGAAAGTGGTACTTGAAAACTTTCCAACGCTGTCTAATATTAGCTCGAACGCGACGTACCTAGTCGTACCCAGAGTCTCATTCCTCCCGGGTCAATTAATGAAACTGCACTGGAAGCACGACATTGCGCATGGCATGAGACTAGATGTCGCAGAAATTGGAGTGAAAATACACTTTACGAAAATACTTTACGAAAATCAGATATTTTATGAGTGGGGCTAGGAGGTAGGACTCAATGAAAATTGAAACCAAGACTGGGACGAAACGTAAGGCAAGGGCCTTAAAGGGCAATGGCCCTGTTTTAATTTTATTTGATCAAACATTGCACGACTTCGATGCCCCACGAAATCTGTTTCGTCTCCGTCGCGAATGGAATCCTCTGATTGGCTATGGGAGGAGAGAGGGAGGGCGTATAATTCGGGCCTGCCCGGGTTCGAAAAAACGGAGAAAAATCCGGCTGTACACACAAATACGCGCAGGCTGGGAGTTCTTGTCGCGTCTGTCGAGCGATGCAGACGCGAAGCAGCTCGGGCCGGTGAACTCGCGGTATTATGGGTCTTGAGGGGGCTGGGCGCGAATCGGGAATGTTCTAGTTAGGAGGGGCACTGGGAAAGTAATGAGACAAAAATGTATTACAACTAGAGGGTGACACATATTACATAAACTTTTCCGCGTCGTCTCCCCCAACATTGAAAGCACTCTTCCTATGTCTGCACAGGCTTCAGTATTCCCTCCTTGAAGAAAGACACAAACTTTTTTCGACTCATCTTTTCACGGTGGTTTCAATGTTTTCATCACTGCTGAACTTGATACGATGCAACCCATCTTCTATTGGGGCAAACTAGAGAAAATTCGAATAAGTCGGAACTGTAAGGTGAATGCTGCAGCTCCTCTCTGATTTCAAGATAATTGCATTTCACATGTCCTTTCAGCTTTCCAAAATGGAACCATCCCGATTGACAACTTCCTGAAGGGTTGAACCTGAGAATCCCTAAAAGACGTTTGAAATGCAAGATGAACTTCAGAGAGGGGTGGCAGCATCCATCTTACAGTTCAGACTTATCCGAATTTTCTCCAGTTTGGCCCAATAAAAGATAATTGCAACAGTGGCCTGTGCCGGGGGTGGTGAGGCAACAATAGGGTAGGGCAGGAAGAAATCTGCAATCAAGACATCTCCGCACAGCGTCTTTCGAGGAAGTATACGATGTTTCACTGATTTGAACCCGAAATCTTGGCAAAATCAATCTCGGAATTCCACAGATTTATTCTTTCCTTCATCCGCTACTTTGTTCGTAATGCTAGAAGTAGCCTTTCATGAAACACACGAAAATCTCTTGTCATTCATGTTGCTACAACTTGCTGAAAATAAATTCCCCACCGTTTTATTCCTAATACAAGTTCCAACTTCTGGGAAGAAGCAGAATAGTGCCGTCTAATGCCAAAAAAAGGTGTTAAGTCAGAAAAGTGCGAATTTTTCGTCATCCCTGGAATTACTGTCTCATCCCCTGTGACTTACAAGGGATGAGACCACCAGCGAAGATGAATCATTTTTTGCTAGGACATTATCTCGCTCAGGGGGATGAGCCAAATCGAGATTAACAGTCTTTCATGGTTCACCATTTTTCAAAAATTGGTCAATATTCAGGAAAATTTAATTGTCGTCAGTTTGACAGTATCAAAACCGTATATTTGTTCGCCCCATCTCCAAAATATTATTAAATTTCCATGAGTTTCCATGTTTGTGAAAA